CTCTCTTGGATCACGCCCCCACGTAGCTTCCTGTGACACTCATTTCGACCATGAATAATGGATTTCTCAAAAAGGAAAAAGGGCAGAAGAGTGTACTACTGGGGAACTTAGGTTTGTACAGTTACGGCTTTTCGGGCACCTGCCCACCTCTCCCAGTGTGGGCCTAAAGTATTGTTAAACCCACACACAGGAAGGTAGGAATAGCAATGATGGTGACCCTGATATCACAACTTGATGCTCGAGAGGATGCTAACCTACTGTTAGTTTTGAACTTGCCACTAATGTTCATCTTTTTGGCGAACCTCAGCTCGTATAAACCGTGCCTTAGTAGTAGCTTGGATAACCCCGCTATTCTGGCTCATACCCGATAGAGGCGCCTTGGAGCTCAACACCATAGACAAGGAAAAATGCCATGCCAACGAATAACCCCACCAGTCATTCGCATGTCAACTCCCATACAGTACCAAAATTCGAAACTAGCCTAGCTAACATCATAATCTAACCCGGGTTGGCACCCGAGATACCAGAGTCTCCCCTTCAACCGTAATATGTGAAATCTAAGATGGACTTATTCGCAAACTTGATAACCTATCCCTATTGCAATTCTTCGTAGTTTACCGAATACTGCTATCAACAGCGAACCTAATAATTACAGGCCTTAGGAGCATCCCCTGAAGTCATGAAAGTCCAACTTTAAAAGTCATGGCGACCCCAATCTTAGTTAGTTAGTTAGTTACTTACTGCATTTATTGGTACAGGTAAGCTGGATACGGCCCAAGTACTAACCTGCCCGGTAACCATCAGGTTCATACCAATATTAATATAAGCCGCCCAACGATTTTGTTCATATAAGCATGATCCTCAACTTTCTCAAGGTTTGGCATTGCTCTCTTGATGGCTTGTAGATTTAAGGATGATATTTGTACATGCTTGCGTAACCCAATATACAATGATAGGTCCCTTCTTACTGTAGATTCACATGTCGGACTTCAACATCAACCCTAACACTATCCTTGCCATTAACCCTTATGTCAAGGCTGACCGTAATATTAGGCCCATTAGGCCTGAGATAGCCTTCAGACTGTCCATCGTAGCTTCAGTACGACCTATAATATAACCCCAGTGTTTCTCTTATGAACAACCTTAGTCAGAGCTGTGTGATAACCTTGACAGCCTGGTCTGAGTTAAACCTGCTGGCTTTTTTACCCCCAGAGCTCGCGCCTGCGCGACATCCCACTGCCTCTGCTGCAACTACACACGTAGGCAATGTGCACCAGTGTCTCATCTACATCTGCTGTTGCTCTGTCGGCAGTAAATACAGCACTTTCTGGCACATAGGTGGCAAATACTGGAAAAAGCATGCTGCAGCAGACGCACTTGAGTGTAGGTGGCAACGGCTTACTAGCGCCCACGTGGTGCGGTATTCTTTGCAACCTAGATGCCGAAAAACTTATACCCAAAATCACACAAACCGGAAAATGGTAGGTACCGGAGGGGGGGTGCATATATATGTATATATATATATATATACATATACACACATGTGTTGATGTAACACACACTTACACACATGTATATATATATATATATACACACATACACGGTAAATACCGTATGTTATGGTAAACTACGGTAAAACACAGGAAGAACACAGGACAACATAGCATGTCTCAGACGGGCTCTTGCTTCATGCGATAGACATCCCTATGTTCAAGCGAACCCGTGATTGTCGAGTACCCGGCACGTTTTCGAGAACCTTGCCGTTGTCCCGAAAGGTTTACTAGGGTTTAGGGTTTTGGGGTTTTTATTGTAGCATTGTTACGGTGATATCCATAGCAGGCAATTGTTTCCGGAAGTGTGGCCTGCCTGTGCAGTTTGGTTGCGCAGGCAGGGGTGGTACAGATCCCGCTGGGCGAGTGGTCTTGTGACTATACCTGGTGCATCTACTAGCCATGTGGAGCAAGAGGATGCATCGGAAAGTCGCGTGTTGGTACTTTTGGCTGCGGAGTGAAACTTTTTGTCGTCGTTTAAGAAAACTCCCGACAACCTTCCTATCACTGCAGCCATGAGCAAAATTCGGGACAGCCCAGATAGACTGCTGGGGCGGGACATTTAGCCCCTGCTGTGCTTCAGGTCCTCTCACCTCATTGAACTTCTTGGGTTACATCACTTGCCACATTCGAGGCCGAGGTACCATGTACAGTGACACTGGGGCCCGGAACAATCACCCCAAACCTCTGCGGTGGAGGGTTTTCGGGTTCAGGGTTTGGACCAAAGCAGAAGCGCAGCGCAGACGAGTGTTTGCACGCCTTGCTGCGTGAAGACAATGATTTACAGGGGTTCTTGTTGAGGAACTTTATCAGAATAATATGGAACTCCAAAATAGTATAGGTAATTCGCGGGCCCCTATATTAAATCCCTATAATAACCCTCACTGTAGCCCATTAATGGGGATCTGTATGGTTTCCCTGTCATGGTAACTTAACGTAATCTCCTTAACAAGAGCCCAGTTTAGGATCGAGCTCTTAGCTCTCTCGACTTCATGAGTGTTTCGTCGCAAGACAGCTGCTTGCGGGTTTCAGGTGATCCAGAGACACTCCACATGGCAGCAATGTAGAGGATTGAAGACATGATGGGTAGTACTCGGCCCTGCATAAGCTCCAGATCTTCGTTCCCGGCATCTGTTATGTAACCCTAAACCCTAAACCCAAAACCCTAAAAACGGCTCGAGAGTGAATTGCATCCGCTTGTCTGAGCCTCTGGGCTGCTGGGCCGCTGCCATAGGTCCTCTCTTCATGCCTTTGCTGCCGGATATGTTTGGGGCTTAGGGGTTTAGTATATGGGTGGTTGTCAAAATTATGGTCCCTTTTTGGGTAGCCTCAATATTAGGTGCCGTACTTATAATAGGGACCCAAAAAGGGACCATAATTTTGACAACCACCCATATGGGGTATGGCCCTGAATGACCGACAGGGCGTGGCCCCAGCGGGTTGACGGTTCCGTTCCAGAGACCTCAGCCTGAAGCCCCAAGCTTCTCCAAGCTTCAGGGTTTAGGGGTTTAGGGTTTAGAGTTTAGAGTTTAGAGTTTAGGGTTTGGGGTTTAGAGTTTAGAGTTTAGGGTTTGGGGTTTAGGGTTTAGAGTTTAGGGTTTAGGGTTTAGGGGTTTAGGGTTTAGAGTTTAGGGTTTAGGGGTTTAGGGTTTAGGGTTCAAAAGCCAACTGAAGCAAGACTTTGGCAGTCTAAGCGACGAATGTCTTTCCAGTTGGGTTAGGGAGGAGGTAAATGTTAGTTAAGTCAAAAGCCTTGCACCCTGAAGCCCGCAAAAGGCTTCTGGCCGCCTGACATGACACTGTGACCACTTCGGCCCCAGTTGCTCTCTTCTGTCATACCATCGCCTGGAAGCCATATTTTCGAACGGTTCATACGCAGCATCTGCAATGCAGTCCTGCGTTTGATCCGACACCTTGGCGCGAGGATCTCCAGTTGAAAAGCATCCAAAGGTCCAGGCTGCACAAGCAACTGAAAAAAGCTGATTGTTTTTATGGGTTCTAACATAACTGGGGATTCAAATCCTGAACCCAACAACTGATAGGTAGGCATCAGAAACTACTGTCAGAGTTTAGTGTTGAGGCATGCCAACACTCCGAGGCCACACTAGCTGGTCCGAGCCACCAGGGCGAAAAACTGAAAGTGGGAGTCCCTGTTTGGACCCACGTGATCTGGAGCAAGGGTTAGGGGTTTAGAGTTTAGGGCTTCTATTCCTAGGCCCTATACCCAGAGTTTCTTTTTGCAGTCACCTACGGGCACACCTTCCTGAACCCATAATTTTTGGCGAAAGAAGCCCAAAAAAGACAGTAGTTCGCGTATCTTTGTCGTACGATAATGGTAAGACTTCTGGTAGTTTGAGGCAAGGCACGCACTAAACTCTATGCGCAGGAACCAGACTCGCCCAGAAAAGTCAAAAGCACTGAACTAAGGACTTTCCTGTGATACCTGACACTCTGATTTGGATCTCCACCCCCAGTTGAAGAATATCCATGCCGTAAATTAGTAAACCTCAGAAACCTAAAATCGAAATCCTAACCCTACACCCTGTTCCTTGGGGCTCTACGTCTCTAGGCCCACAAACCGGTTTAGGATTTAGGGTTTGAGGTTTGGACTTTTCGGGCTTAGAGAAGCTAGAGCTTTAGGGTTGCAGGTATTTAGGGCTTGGGTTTTTAGGATTTGGGCTTCGGCTTTAGGGTACAGGGGTGGGGCGTTTCAACAACATGGGGTATGCCGACGGAGGTTGCAGTGCTGCAGGACTCAGGGATTAGGGTTTTCTAGCGAGGTAGTGCTCATTGCCTTTTGATGCTGGGGCTCGGGGTCGATCCGCCAACCGATTCCATACGTCAAACCCCCCAAACCTTAGCATCAAGAGCACAGGTGTCAGCTCAGGCTTACAGATCTTTACTATGTCTACAGTAACTGGTCAAGAAGCCCTGGCGGTGCTTGAGCAAGGGCTTACATCAATGAGGGCAAGACAGACTTTCATGTTTGGTCCATCAACAGTCTTAAGGGTCCCTGTAGACCCCTAAACCGGGATCAGATGCCTTCGCACTTCCGAGCCATGTGGTTAAGGCTGCCACTCTGCCGCCAATCTTTGGCTCAGAGCCTGAAACCCAGAACCCGAAGTCTTCCATAGTATCGCCCGAAACAAAATCTAAGAAACCTTAGCCTCCAACCCAACCACTACATCCCGAAACCTCTAGACCCCGAAGTTCCTAAACTGGAAGCCCGTGATCCCGAATTCCTCCTCACAGCCAAGCACCGGATCAGATAGAGATCCAAAAGACCCCCCCCCCCCCCGCACCTACGCCTCGAAGCGTTAAGGTGATGAACTTTAGCAGCCTTAGGGTTCCCGAAGGACACCGAAACCCCGAAGCGCTAAAGCCGGTAAGTTCTAGAACCTAAACTCACTGCACAAACCACCTTGAGACGTCCGGGCCTGTCGCGCTGTGATGACGGAGGCCGGGGTTGACATTGTCCATGTGGCACAAGGGCCAGCCAATCGTGTGCAGTGTGTGGAACTGAACTGTTTGAGGGTTCGGTCCTTCTTGGTGGCTTATGGCGCAGTGGGGATGGCAACGACGGTCAACATCGCGATGATTTTGATGCCGGCGGCGACACATCCTGACGATGCTGAGGATGATGACGATGATGGTCACGCGGCGGGGTGTGCTGCCCTGCTTGATCCTGCACACTGGGACATGGGCTTCGTTCCAAATTGGGCTTCAAATAGTTGTATTGCAAATAGCTCATATCGCGGCTTCACTTAAGCCGAGCAACAACCTGAGCAAAACAAAGGCAGGTTCTTCTTTGTTCTCATGGCCGGAGAACCAAGAGCCTATCCCAAATCCCCACCCCACATTCCACAACTCCAGCCCCCCCCAATTCAACCTTTCAACCCCACCCGCAACGATAGACCCGAAGTCCCTTGAAGCTAACAAAGCCTGTGCCACCGTCCTTGACGGGAGGCGACGCTGCGATGCGCAGCCGGGACTTCACTGGAGATTCTGCATGCTGCAGGTGTTTCTTAGGGGTTGGTTTTGGGCTTCAGGGTTTAGGATCTCAGGATTTGGTGTTTGGCTTTCGGGTTCGGGGTTGAGGACTTTGGTCTCAATATTTTTGTGTTTCAGTTTTAGGTCTCCAGCACGATTGATGGAAGGTATACTTATACGTCGGAGTCAAAGAGTGCAGAGCCCTCTGAGTCAAGGAGACCCTGAAGCAGAGCTCTGGCATAACAGGGGTGACGATACAGCAGGATCAAGGATCAACCCAAGCGGCTGCTACAGACTCATGCTTTCAGCAGGCCCCCACAAGCTCAAATCCTCAACCCAAAGCCAAAAACCCGTGAACTCAGATCCCAAGCCCCAAATCCTAAGGCCCCCATCCGAGGCCCCAAAAAAGCCCCAAGAACCCACATCCCAAAACCCTAAACCCTGGCCCCCAAACCCTAAAACCCCAAAACCCTTAAACCCTTAAACCCTAAACCCTAAAACCCCCAAACCCTAGACCCCTAAAACCCTAAAACCCTAAACCCTAAAACCCTAAAACCCTAAAACCCTAAACCCCAAAACCCACCTCCCACAACCCACGGCCCGCCCTAGGAATGGGAGACGTGGAGCCAAGAGCAGGGCGAGGATTCCTCGTCGGCTCCATGGCCTCTGCAGGGGTAAAGTGGTGGGGGTTCTTTGTTGAAGGATTCTTTCAGGGTTTAGGGTGTTAGGGGTTTAGGGTTTAGGGATTTGGGGCTTTAGGGGTTTAGGGGTTTAGGGGTTTAGGGTTTACTTTGTCAAGTACAATCTGCCCAGCAGTCCAATTCCACAGCAGCTATGGAGGCTGCCACGGCCACATAGTCATCCGGTCCTTGTCCCCCCTTAATATAGCTATTATATACCCATCATTAAAGCCCATGATAGGGTAGGGGGCCTTATTAAGGGTCCCTCCTTTTACCCTTGGACCAAAGACCCTCAAAACGGATACCGGTCCCCAGGGGCATTAAAAGTCCCGCTCCCCCAAACCGCAAGAACGACCAGGCCCGACACCGGACAACCTGAAGCCTCGAACTGCTTTGTGGAGGTACTTAGAAATAGCTTTTAATTCTTGGTTATTATAATCCCTAAGAAACAGCGAAAATTCTAATTTTTGCTAGGGTTCTAAGTTCAGTATAGTAACAACGCAGTGCTTGCGTCAACTGGGTTTGCTCTTTCTAGGAGCACACACACTCACACACGGAATACATGTAGCTTACTAACTGGATGACTAACTAACTCGCTGACTAGCTAACGGGCTATAACTGGCTGGCTAACCAGCAAGCTAGCTCTCTAGCTAGCTTCCCAGCTCACTACTTACATGTAATTATACACATGTACATAAGTATACATGTACATGTATCTATGCATACACACATTAAGTTCTATATTCACGTGCGTTGCAACAATCACAAAGCTTGTGGAAGAGAACTGTCACTGCCCGAGGTTCAGCTACAGGAGCTCGAGGGCGAGACCGCCACGCTGGAACTTGCCCGGGATGGAAAGGTCTATGCCGCGTGGCTGTTTAGGTTTTCAGGGTTTGGGGTGACAGGTTTTTCATGTTCAGGCGCCAGGGTATGTAGGTTTACTTGGCTTAGGAGCCGAGTTTTGTCCTGCTTGCCGGCTGAGTTCTGATGCTTGTGATCGGGATGGTTTGGGAGTTCGGAGCCTGCATCCTCGGGCTAAGCCGGTTAGACCCGGAGGTGTGGGCTTTACAGCTCCCTCTGAAACTAGTGTATTCCTGTATTTCTGAGTAACCTTCACGAGCTCGCGGTTTTATTCTTGAAGCGAAAATGAAGAAAACAAATATACAACGATTCATCGCGACTCACTGTCGAGTTTGCTAGAGCCAATGCAGCGTCGGGGGGTTTAACCCGCATAAACCGTAATCATAAGACACTAAAGCTCTACAACTCTCAACCAGACGCCCCAAAGCCTAAACCACAAAGCCTAGCCAAATTTAAGCATGAGCTGCCGAGTTTTGGCATCGTTGGGTCAGGGCTGGGTTTGCCCAGGCAACGCTTGCCTTGACGGCCATGGATGCTTCCTCTTTCTTCCTGGAGGCCTGGCCGCAGACCACAGATATCTACAGCATGTAGACTAGGATGCCCAGTAGTACCCTTATTCCCTTTTTGTAGTCCTAGGTTCCTTATAAAGTTACCCAATACCCAAAAGAGAGGCATTTTTATTCTTAGGTTACTGGGTATCCTAGTAGATGTTCGAACAGAGCTGTTTGTACTGGTTGTGAAAAAGCGTCCTCTAAGATGGTCCCGAGGGTCTTCACAATCCAAGTCGACCTCTTCAGGCTTCCATGCTAGTCGATGGTGCCACTCACATATCTGTATACCGGGAACCGGAAACTAATCGCCAGAACATCGAGGTTCAGGCTGATGAATCGCAGCAGCGAGAATCAGAAGAAGAGTCGAGTATGAAGCGGTAGTATCCACGCATCGATAGTTCTAGCGCGGAAGCTGCTGGTCGGGTCATGCGAGCCGCCGCTGCCCAAGAATCGGTTTGCTTTATGTGCCGCATATTCCTCGACGCCCTTTGCTTCATAATGTTATCGGTTCTTCTTGTCCTTGATTATTAGTAATAGTAAAAGTAAATGTAATAGTAATAATAATAGGAATAGTAGTAAGTAATAGTATTAGTAGTAATAATAACAGCAATAGTAATAGTGGTATTAGTAGTAATAATACTGGGTTGTTCGCTTGAGCGCCTTCCTGCACGACAGCGCAACAAGCCGGCCCCGAACACTTCACGCGCCGAGAAGCCTAGGCCATCAAGTAAAAGTAGTCCCCCCTAGGGCTTTAGGGCTTTAGGGTTTAGGGTTTTAGGGTTTAGGGTTTTAGGGTTTAGGGTTTTAGGGTTTTAGGGTTCAGGGTTTAGGGTTTTAGGGTTTTGGGGTTCAGGGTTTTAGAGTTTAGGGTTTTGGGACGGTTTAGGGGTCTAGGGGGCAATTAGACTATGATGGAGACTAGACAGGTCGACACGGCCGATGATTAGAAATGCCCCCCGGGCCCCGGGAAGTGCTGCACGTGTTGAGAAACCTAATACCCAGATTTGGGAGGCCTTTCTCAGCGTTTGGGAAGCAATTAAAATATCGGGGGTAAGGGCAAGGCATTGAGAAGGAAGAAGACAGAAGCAAGAGCGGACACAAGTGTGCGGCACAGGTAGTAATGTTCCTCGTCGTGGTGTCAGCCGTGCAGTCAAATTAGTGCAGCAGTGATATGGTAGTTGTCCCGGTGTAAACCCTTTCCGAACAGCTAGCCTTATGGAGGAGACGCCAGCAGCTTAGAACCACTCTGCAACATCCCTCAGCCCGAATCCAGAACCCTAAGCATTTAAACTTCTCCAAATCCATTTATAGAAGCCGCCCAAAACCCCCGAACCTAAACCCTTTGACTTGCCGAAACCCTAAAGGGAACCTTTGTAGGGGCATTTCAGGAACCCTTTATGGCACCCTAGCCGTGGGCCGTGGCCCCTCCGCCAGGCCCTGGGAGAGGCGTCTGACGAGGTGGAGCTGTGTGGAAGTGTCTTGTAGTTTCTGAGTTTTTTGTGGACCTAATAATGAGAGGTAGTAGTGTCCCTTTAAACAACAGTTACGAATAGCTATATCGCCACACCACCTTATCCTCACGAAGGCCTGATGCTACACATACGGGTCCTGAGATTGAGCGTTTGGGGGTTTCCCCGAGTACAAGCAAGGCGGGTCTCTTTGGTCTTTCGGTGGCTTTGCTTTTGTCGGCATGAGTTTGGGGGAGTGGGGGTCTTGGAAGCCAGGGATCCTCATAGCCCTCAATCAAGCTAGCTGCCCTTGACCTCGGAACCCTAAAGGCAAGCCGATGCATTCGTCGTGAAGCGGACTAAGGTTTCGATAAAAGACCCTGCCAACAGCGATTGATTTGGCACCCCGACAGCCTAAATCCAGGTGGAAGAGTGGGTGACGAACCTGAACAGCACGTTTGCGGACAAAGCCTTCACCTTCAGTGATGCACGGATCCCAGGACGATCGCTGGCCTTCAGCCCGGAACAGGATGCATGAGAGTCTCCGCATTTCGGTTTCCATAAACGTTGTTCCAGGTGCAAACGCTGTAGGAGCGGAAGCCTCAGACTTGCTCAAATTAGTGCCCACTTATTGCTTTCATCCTGGGTAGTTCCGGAACTTACAGCTTAAGTCCGCCTCACACACGTGAGACCGCCTCTCAGCTCCACACAACAGATTCCGGGTGGACGCACTGGGAACTGGTACGCTTGAAGCACCATCAATGCCAGCTTTCAAGAGCACAATCCCTTTCTGAGTTACAAACCGCCCCTTTTTGCATCAATTGCAATCTGACCTGCAGACGTAGCAAACCGAAGGGCCCGATACCTTTCACATAGGACATGCGGTAATATGCTTCAAACCATAAAAAAGACGCCTTATGAGGCCATACAACTGCGTAAGACCCTTGAAAGCCCCTTGTAGACCTTGTGCATTCGTTGCTATGGCTCTACTACCTAGCCGAAACCGTCAGCCTCAGAAACCGTCAACTCGAAGCGCCGCCCCCAAACCCAATTCTTTAAACCCTTCTAGTCTAGAGCCTCGAAAGGAATCCTTAAAATGCGTCCCGAGCCCTCGTAATTCTGCTGAAGTGGACCTGCTTATGTTTATTTTACCTCTACCCCTGCAGAGAGCTTCTTCTCCTTTTGAGAGGATGTTTTCATGGTTTGATCCCAGGGAACGCAGGAAATCGTGTAAGACCACCTTCAAGAATCTGCGCCCATAACTCTAGCCGCCGACAGCCTGAACCCTAAACCCTAAACCGGAAACGATCAGTCCAACTGCCTTTGAGGCTCTGTCCGCCATCCGAGCAAAAATCCCCGCCAAGAAGCAACTCGAGGATGCCTCAGTAAGTCTCATGTGATGGGTTTGGAAAGAAAGGGCCTTGCTACCAATTTTGGGGGGCTTAAGGGGAGATGTTACAGTGTAACTATGTATGTAGTCACTACACCTCTCAAGACGTGCGGTCCATGGAGAAATGCTGAGTTGCTTGATTCGTGCGTTCACTCAAGCATTCACTCGTTCATTCGTGCAGTAGCAGCCAGGTAGGTACGTACGTATTGGTCATATGGATAGAAAGATAAGTAGGTAGGTACTGGTAGGTAGATGGAATCGATAGCCTGATAGATAGACCATCCATTTCCCCGCAACACCCCCGCTCCCACCTCGAAAAGACTCAACAGGAGCCCTGCAAAAGCCACCCCAAGCCTAACATCTTGCCCGAAAGCCCTACAAACCGAGCGAAACCTACATGGAACTTTGTTCCATCCCTTTCTAGACCCCTTAGGATACTGTGCCGTTGCAAGCAGTGCGCAGTACGCAGAGGAGGAGGCGCCAGCCGATCGGGCGGCGAAGCGAAAGGCCCAGGAGGAAGATGCGTCCCTCGGTCCGTTTTGTTGGGAGTGTTTGTTTGGGGGAATTTCAGGTTTAAGGCAGGTTAGGTCTAGGGTTGAGGGTGTCGGGGTTTGAGGTGTTGCAGGCGGTTTTGGGTCTAGGTTGTATGGATTTGTGGTTCAAGGCTTTGGGATTCAGTGCGTGGTCAGGGCATCCAGGATTGTAAGGGTTCAATGAACCCCCTCAATTCACGCCCAGTCCCAGCACAGCCCAACTGCGGAGCAGCCCAGACTACCCCAACTCCCGACCTGCCCCGATGTTGAGTTCCAGAACAGAAACTCAGGTCCAAACTGTCGGTTAGAGTTACAGTTCGGTCAAGACTTTCGAGCCAAAACGTTCTTGGAAGCTTGTATAACCCCTAAACCCGAACAGCACCAGAAGCCGGAAAGCTCCAACCCGCAAACCCGAAACCACAAGCCCCAAACCCTAAGCCCTCCAAAACAAACCTAAACCCTAAACATCCTCAACCCCAACACCTCCCACCCCGCCGGCCCCCTCTTCCCCAAATCCTTCCCCCACCGCCGTGATCTCGGAACCCCAACTAAAAACCCCAAACCCCCAAACTAAACCCCTAAGCTGAACCCCGAAACCCCCGAAACGCCCCACGGTTTAGGTTTTAGGGATTTAGGGGTTTAGGGTTTAGGGTTTAGGGTTTAGGGTTTAGGGACAGCTCCCCCCGAAGGCACTGGGCCGCTTTGGCCGAAGCCTCTGCCTCCCAGGGCTCTCGGCAAGCCTCCCAGGCCCGGCGCTCTTAGGATGTCCTTAAGGGGGGGTGGTCCAAGGGGGGTAGGTAACCTAGTAATCCCCATTATTCCCCAATACTCCCTAAGCTTCCCTAAGGTTCCCCAAAGCTCCCTAGTACCCTCCCCCCTTGAACCACCCCCCCTTAAGGATCCTATGACTATAAGTCTCCACAGCTGTAGTATACGGCATAAGGAACCCCTAAAAAGGTAGGTTATTCAGGGTTAAGGTAACCCCTAAATCCCTAAACCCCTAAATCCCTGAACCCCTAAATCCCTAAACCCTATGGGTAGTATGGCTTAATCTATGTGGGCTCCAAAGACTCCGTGGGTTTTAGAAAGGCGTTATGGTGATTTCATAGGCGTTAAGACGGGGTTTGCAGGGCTCCAGAGGTTTTTGAATGAGTTTACAATGGTTCCATGGGCTTTGGCTCCATAGGTCTCAAGTGGATTTATAATGGTCACAGAGGTTATTAAAGGCTGTATAATGGTTACAGAGGTCTTGAAGTGCTTTAGTGTGGATCCACAGGTTTTAGCTTTATACAATAGTTACAGAGGTTCTAAATGGCGTTATAAGCGTTTTGTATTGGCTTTTTATAGATGTTTTATGAGGGTTGTACATAGTTTAGGTAGATACGGCTTTTATGCGCGGTTTTATGAGGGGACTTAGTAAGCAGGTTATCATTGAGAATACAAGTAGCCTAATAGGTTCATGTTGTTTATTTATCACCAACGCATGACCTACTTAATTCCGAAGTTCCCTGATCATGTGCGACCTTGCTTTTACCACCACTTTCAACCTTGTCGACAAATTTTGAAGTTGCCTGATCCTTCTATCTCCGCCCTAGACCCTCAACCTTTGGGGTCTAAGGCTTTGGTTCGAGCTCAGAGACTCTAAAAGACATGCCAGCGCCGAGCCCGAAATATGTAGGGCTTTGGGTTTATAAGGTTCTCTCAGAAGAGGGTGCCGGGGGTTTGGGGTTTACGACAGGGGCTTGCCAGAGATGATAGGTACATATACATGTATATATACATATTCAAATCAACCCACTGGTAAAAGTACGAAAAGATATCTTGATCATGGTTCTAAGGGTTCGTGGCGAAACTGCCAGTGTTTTTTCCAGCGGCGTCGGGAGATTCTGGTGTTAAATTCACATGTAGATAGGTACATAATATGTATATATGTATATATGTATATATGTATATATGTATATATGTATATATGTATATATGTATATATGTATATATGTATATATGTATATATGTATATATGTATATATGTATATATGTATATGTATGTGTGTATATATATATATATGTATATACACACACATGTATACCGATAAATAGCGCTACATCGAAAACTATGAAAGGGCCTGAGCCATGGCACCCGCTCTACATTAAAAGTTTGGACAGGTACTAATGCGCGAAATGCGCTCGCTGATGGCGTTGCCAGGCAGTCTGTCCGGGGTTTTCGAAATGAAGCCTAAGCCCTAAACACTAAACCTCGTACCTCAAGGCCTGAACCTTAAGTTGACAATGTTGGGAGTGGTCTTGCTTAAGGTTGGGCTCTTACAGTATCATCATATTACATTTGGAGCTGTTCAGGCTTAAGATGAGATTCTTGAAGCCAGGCGACAATGCCGTCCCGCCTCAGATTCCGAAGCCGAGACCCATGGCCCTGAGAGGGGCAGGCTGAGCGTGGGAGGAGCAGGACAACCTTCAAAATCCGAAAGCAAACCTCCTCGCCCAGGTGGGCTGAGCGTGAGAGGAGCAGGGTAGGGGGTAGGGGAAGGATCCAAAAAAGGAGCGGGCGAAGAAACAAGTCTGACAAAGGCCCAGGGAGAGGGTTGGCGTGAGCGTGGAAGGAGCGGGGGTCGGGGTATGTGGTAGCCTAACAAGCAAGCCTCCAGACCTGTGACAAACGCACAGGAATTGAGCGTCAAAAATCCGAACAAGAAGCCTCCTGAAATGACAAAGGCCCAAGGAGCGGCGTGGGCTGAGTGTGGGAGGAGCAGGTTTAAGGGGGGCGGATAAAATCCCCAAAACAAGCAAAGGCACAGGGAGGGGAGTAGCTTGAGCGTGGGAGAAACAGAGGTGAGGGGTGGTGTGGGGAGGTAGGGGAAGGATACAAAACCAAATCTAGAAAACCATATAAACCTTTCACACAAGCCCAGCAAAAAAAAGGTGGGTTCAGTGTGGGAAGAGCGCGGCAGGGAGATGGTGTAGGGGAGCAAGACAAAATTCCAAAAAGGAACGAAAGCTTGTTGACAAAGGCCAAGGGAAGTGGGTTGAGCGTGGGAGGAGCGGGCGTAGGGGGGTGGTAAGGGGGGGGCTCTCACAAATGCTCCCAACTCGAGAAAACTTTCAAAACCATGAAGGCGAACCTCCACACCTCTGACAAAGGCACGGGGAGGGACGTGGGCGGAGCGTGGGAGGAGCAGGGTGGTGTGGGAGGGCAAGATCTTCCCAGATCTAGAAACATCCCTGAAAGCCTAGAAACAAGCTTCTTGACGTCTGACAAAGGCCCAGGGACTCGGGTGGGCTGAGCGTGGGAGGAGCGGGAGTAGCGGGGAAAGACTTAAACTATGCCAGAAGCAAGTGTCCTGACCTCTGTCAAAGGCTCAGGGAGGGTTGTGGGCTGCGCACGAGAGGAGCAGAGGGAAGGGTGCTTGCTGGGAGTCGGGGCACCAACAGGGCGCCGCCCCAGGGGTCGACATATGTTGACTGGGAGGGGTCTAGATGTATGTATGTATGTATGTATGTATGTATATATATATATATATATATATGGAGGATTCAAGTGTGCGAGGACCGCCTCGCACGTCGTGCTGGCGGCAAGCTCCTTCTGGAGCCTGCGGGGCGTTCTCGCGACGTGTGGCGCGACCGCCACTTCGTCAAAGAGAAGTACCCGTCAAGGCTTTGGAGCAAGACGGTGGAGGCAGGTTGCGGAGCGACGTGTTGTCTCGGCATCCAATCCAAAGCAGACCTGTGCAGGCTAGTGGTCGTGGCCAGGTGCGTCAGGGATAGTTCCCTGCTGTGCAAAAGTTTGGACGAACCCGCTTTTTGCATTCATTTGCCACCCCCCCCACCCGGCTTCCGGTCATTTTACCGGATTTTCTGCAATCCCCCTCCCCCACCCCCCCATGATCCCTTCTTTTCTGCGGTTTGGCCCCACTCCCCGGAGCGAGATTCTAGATTCTACTTGACGCATGACTTCAGGTCGCGTCAAGATCTCAAATGTTGTGTGATTTGTTTTTTCAATGTCTTTGGTGCCCGTTCTGCGCAGACTTGGCCTTCGAGTACTTCAAGAAGTCCTTGTCTGGCGAACTGGACAAGGGCACTTTGGTGTCTGTGGTCTTTTGCCCACAGGATGCCAACAAGGCCCTCGCAGCCGTCGCTTGGTCCCAGACTGGGGACCAAGTGATGCTGCATTCAGCAGCAGCAAAGCCCCACGCCGGCCTCGCCAATGACCTAATCAGCGGGCTGCAGGACACCACTGTGTGACTTAATTTGAGAAAATGCTGGGACCATGAGATGGACATTCGGTTCGTACAGGCATTAGAGAAGGGCTGCTTGTGGACCTTTTAGCGAGTAAAGCATCGTTAGTGAACAGGGATGATATAGGGGTTACGTTCCCATGTTCCCTAATCATTACTACAACTGGGGGGACGAGCATCCATATAAATTGCAGCACGGCTCAGCACGCAGAAGTGCTGCTGATGATCTTAGCGATTGGTTCTGCATGACCTCACCATCCCAGCACACGAGAAACAAGCCTCTTGACCTTTGACACAGGCTCAGGGAAGGGGGTGGGCAAACAGAACCCAAACCTAAACACCCTTTCCAAATCCTAAACAGAACAAGCCTCCGGACTTCTGACAAAGGCCCAGAGGGGAGTGGGATGAGCGTGGGAGGAGCAGGGGGTGGCGGGGGTGATGTGGGGGGTTATAGGGCGTTAGGGAGCGGGGAAGCGCTAGAAAACCCAACAAACGTGAAAGCGCTCCCTTGCCCTTTATGAACTCTGAAGCCCTGAATCAAGGTCATAGGGTTCAGGGTTGTAAATGCTGCCAAACGTGGAAATGTTAATGTTGCCTCGGGCACGCCTGACAAGCAAATCCTACTAAGCCCGGAACACTACTCGTAAAGCCATGGTCTTTAGACAGACATACCATAGTTGCCTGAAGAATTCATGTGCGCAATTGCCAAGGACCCCACCGTAAACCTCAACCGAAACCAGAAACCCGCTTGTTTCTGGGAAGACCACTCGTAGGCCCAAAGCATCCAGGCTCAGACGGAAAGAAGGCTCTGGAGGTTGTCATGGTCAAGGCACCGGATTTCGTTATACGCTACTATATCATACGATAGTAACTATACTGTCTTGTAAAATTGTATTACGCTTTTTAGACAGGGTCCACCAGGAGCTCGCTAGGTTTTTTAGAAGAGTCTTACATGGGCAGTTCTCTGAATTGGGGTCCCTTTCTCAGTCCTCCAAAATGCACCCTTATAAACAATGCCTATTATAAGGGTTAAAAGGGGCCCTACCTGCCGATATATGGTTCATTATGGTTGTATCAGAGGGAGCTAAGTCCCTTAGTTCAAGCGCCCTGAAGCCCTCGATGCCCAAATCTCTGAGGGCTTCCGGGCTGGAAGATTGTTGGGAGATTTCCAGCCGGGTCAGAAGCAAGCTAATGATGGTCTTCAGAAGCTTCGGCCCCGTTTCAGGTACTTTTCTCACAAGCTCTGGTTAGCCACGCCGCATTGGCTTTCACATGAAGTGTCTATCTTCGAATCGTTCTTCGTATGCTGAAGAGCTTCGGAACATGCGGTTTCCAGGATTCGAGCAGCATCCAAACGCAGTCGTGTCTTAGGTTCGGCTGGGTTTAGGGCAAAGAGTTTCGAGATTCCAGTCGTAGCAATCATTGCAGAAGCGGAGCCGAAACCCCAAAACCTAAGCCTTGAGTTCACCTGGCTGCTCACCGTCGTGCAGGTCCTCTCTTTTGCAAGTAATTCATCCCTGAACACTAAGATGCTTCACTTCCCGTAGCCCTAAACCCCAAGAGAACCCAAACCCTGAGGCCAAAGAAGCACGAGCCTCACGAATCGCTTGCAAACCAGGATTCCCTGTACCACTGGAGCGTGAAGATGTCCGCGGACTGCTTTCTTGGGCCCTTTGTTATGGAGTTTTAGGGTTTAGGGCAGGTCCTCCCTGGTCCCTCCTACCACCTGCACAGCCTGTCTTGCATGGCGCAAGCATGGAGCTTTTCCATAGGTGTTCTGGCAAGTGGTGCTATCAGTGTGGTTCGGACAAATGTTAGCGCCCGTTACATTCGTTGCGCTCTCTCCTACATGAAAACCTCTACACTGGCAGTCTCACATTAGACACGTTGTCGTTATGTTGTGAAATGAGGGTCAGTATCATTCTTCTCTTCTTCGCTTCTTCTTGCAGCACAGAACATCCCTCCGTTCAGGATTTCGCAATTGGAGCTATCGGGCCTTTTGGGCGGTGCTCTCCCTTTGGAGCGACCGCCGAAGTCTGCAAAGTACACTAGAACCTGGACCCCAAAGGTATGTAGAATAAGAGCCCTTTATGGGTATTGGGCCATTATTTTTGTCCTACTTTGGGAGGTTTAGGAAAACGTCAAGCCTAAGTGACCAAGGGGTTTAGGATTTGAGGTGACTGCTCAAGGCCCCAATTGGGGTTATGTGTAGCTACAAGAGCAGTTGCTCCAGATGCAAGCATGCCTACTAAGTCCGTTGATCCTTTGGGTAACACATCATCGTACATCCTTTGTTTATATAGAAGCTTCAAAGGATGCGCTTCAAATCCATCTAGGACAGCTGGCCCGTTTCGAACCCTTGCGTAGACAACCCTACACTCTAAACCCTTCTGCAAGTCCTAAACCCAAAACGGAGGACAGCTTTCCCCCGAGTGATCTTCGGAGCGAGCTGGAGAAGCTGGGCGATGAGATTTTAGGGCAAATGTACACGTGCTCTTAGTTTCCATAAAGGCTTCCTGAGGGTTCTGTACGGGTTTGTGAATGGTTCAGCAGAGGTGTCAGGGATCTGATAAGGGCTCGGTACGGGTGTCGGAAAGGGATTTGCAATTAAAGGGTCCATAAGCGGTTCCATAAGGGTCTTTAACTGTCATACCTTGCTGGCGTTGTCATTGTCGTGGGCTTATGGTTCCAGACTTTCCGTTCGGCGGTCAGGATTTAGGGGTTCAGGATTTAGGTGCGGTTGAGTCGGTATATTTCAGGAAGTTTCGGACTGATTTCGGATCCGCCTCTGGCTCTGACAGTCCTTACCTAGACCCTCCATCTACCCTCTATTAGACTCTAAATGCCCCTTATTTGGGACCATATACCCCCATTTGAGGGTACAAGGAGGGTCCTGGTATATACTTCTTAGGATCCACATCCTCAGAGTCCCTCCCAAGAGTCTCTTTATGTCCGTCGTCAGACGGTCCGGCCAATCTTCCAGGCAGCTTTTCAGCATAGTTCTGAGTCCGCTAGAAAGTGGTTTTCATGTTGTTTTGAATCCTAGGCAGGCACAGGAAGATTTGTGAGAGCGATCCGGGAGAAAACCCCGCTGCGCAGGGCCTTAGAACATGGTTCTTGGGGCCCTACAGCCTTCATGTGGCCTCCAAACCCCAAACCTAAACCATCATCAAGGAAGTTCGGGGCCAGCCACCCGTCCAAAGTGGCAGCGGTGGTGATGGAAGTGCTCTTCCCGGTCGCTCGACTGTTCCCAGAGCTTCGAGCTTTAGGGTTTAGCCTGCATTAAGCGCTCTGTGCGCCTAGGGTTTTGCAGGGTGTGCCCCTCCGGATTATGGCTACTATGAGGCTTGCACAGGGTCCACAAGGAAACCTGCAGTACGGAGACTTGGATGGCCAGGAGTAAACACGTCAACATCTTTCGGTTCGCATGGCTTGCACGAGCTTCAACCTGAGGGTAGTCTGAGTTTCATCGACAGGGGCTTTGTGTGGAGGCTCCTTCTCGTAAATTACATACACACGTACAGGAAATGGCGTGGGACGGGGAACTGTTGTGAATGTGCACCTGGACCTTATTCACTTCGACCCACAATGCAAAGCAGTTGCAATGTGGATGTCTATGGTCTTTCTCGGCAAGTGGGTTCTTGGGATGTACGCTCTTGGCAGCACTTACCCAACTCCATTAAGAGTTGGATGCAAAGATATGCAGGAGGCTATGCTTGCACATGACAACAGTCGAGACGCCAAAGCTGAGCGCAAATTCAGCGATCCATGCCGACAGCACGCCTTCACTACGCATGGTCAAGGTCGAACAAGCCTTCTTGTCGCCAGACTTCACATAAAAAGCCATGCCAAGCGGACCAGTGATCATTGTTTTCGAAGACCTGCTCTAAGCATCCTTATGTACTCTTATGATGAACACATATCCCTACTGCATGATACTCCAGTTTCTGTGTTCCCTGTCCTCATGTCAGGACAGCTTCCCCATGGCGCCACCTTTCATCCGGCTCGTGCGGCCGCGGTTTCAGATGCACACAGGCACACTACCCGGCAAACCTCACGACCGAACCCCCTAGAGTCCACCTAGAGGCCCTGGCCCAGTCACTAAGCAGCGCGCTGTTCTGCCCTGGTCGGGTCCGGGTCCTCAGTCCCCATGTTCCTGAACTGCCAGGACACATCACCGTCGGGGGGAGCGTCTTGGCTATTCAAGCAGCAGGGCTTTAGCCCTAAACCTTGAAAGTCTGCGTCCCGACAAGGTGTTTGCATGCAGCTTCTGACCCCCTCCGGCTGGCTGCCCACCGTCGAGCTCTAAGGATCAAACGGTGATCTTAGGCGGTAGGGGTAGAGGTTTTCAGTTCACGGCTTTGTGGGCTTGGGCGTCAGAATTTCATATCACTTGATACATGGCGATGCAAAAGGAGGCACGAGGCGCAGAGAAGCACTCTGCCTCCATCCAGCTAGGCCCTAGTAGTTAGTTTGGTAACTTTCGTCATCACCGGAGAGGTAATTCAATACAGCGTCAACGGAGGCAACTCTTCCTGTATGTCTTCAGTACGTCAAGGCTATCTAGAATAAGGGTATGATGATGTTTCCGTTGTTGCGCTTCCTTGCCTCAGTGGCAAAGTCCTGTTAAAGCCTCAACTCCTACCTTGAAAGAACTGTTGTGCCTGGTTTCGGTTGCTGCATGTCTCATTGTTTTGCCTATTTTTGGTCACCCCATTTCTCGGTACTGGATCCCGAGAATACATTGGGTGCTAGGGGGTTCAATACACAAACCCCGCAAGTTTGATCTGGACCAACTACCAGGTTTAGGGCTTAGGCGGAATTGAGAGCGTGGCTCAGGTTTCGCTGGAGAATGTCTTCGTAGCAATTCGGAGCGAGCCGCTTGCCGCTTTTCGAATTGAACTTGAATGATTTGTCATTTTTGCACCCCTCCAAGTGCAGACACCACAGCCCTCAACACAGGATCTTGCAAAGCCTGAACTCCGCAATCTGTTTAGGGGCTGGAACCTTTGTGCGAGGTCTTCAAGTTTGGGGCGATAAAGTTGAAGAATCTCGATGATCCTCCATGTACAGTTATCTGATTATGTAGAACGATGCCAACGACCTTCGATGTTTGGCTCAAGATGAAAAGAAGCTCCGTTGAGCGTTGCTTCTGCTTTTGGGTTTGGGTTTCCTTCGGTTCCCTTGCCCTCTCTTCTCGTTCCTACCCTAACATAGTTGCTTCTGTGTTTGGGGTCGGATTAACTGGTTATCAGCCGTATCTGTTCTTCCGTGTGGATTGTTTCAGGGTCTAGGATTGAGGACCCATGGACAACAACCCGCCTCGTGAGGAAGAGCGTATTCCAAGGCCTATCAACGTGAGACGCACTCGGGCCGGCGCTGCAGCTCAGAGAAAGCGGAAAGCATATCAGCGATATATCTTTGAGCGCGATCAGGACTTGGGCATTTATACCGATCCGAAGTCCCCTTCCGTCGCCCTGACGGCTCTACTCGAGCCGTGGTGCGCCGTCCGGAGTCGGCTCCTTTTCAGGCTGTGGAAGAGCAATCGGAAGTGATCGTTATTGACGAGCAGGCTCCGGAGACTCCGTCGATCGTTATTGACGAGCAGGCCCCGGAGGTTCCGCCGATAGTTCTTGACGAGCAGGCCCCGGAGACTCCGCCGCCTTCTACGCCATTCAGTCCGTTTCATCGGCTTCATCCTTCGACTCCTATTCTGAAGGCGAAGACAACGGCTCCATCACCTCCGCCCGCTCCTTCGTCATCAAGCTCTTCTACTCCGAGGCTTTTGCCGACTCCAAAGCCTTCGTTGGCTCCATCGGCTTCATTGTCATCGGGCATTCCGGCTCCAAGGACTCCACCGAAGGCCCCGAATCGTGGAGCTAAGGAATCATTGCGAACTCCGCCACCGTCTACTCCATCTTCGTCAAGTGTTCCAAAGACTCCACCGAAGGCTCCGCCTCGTGTGCCGAAGGAACCTTCGCATCCTCCACCAGCTCAGGTGCTGCCTCGTGTGCCGAAGGAACCTTCGCATCCTCCGCCACCTCAGGTGACAGAAGTTCCTCGTGTTATTGACTTCCGTCCCCTGCAGACAGAGGTGCTGAACTTTGAGGGTGTTAAGGTGAAGCTTACGGAACCAGCATTCGAGAGATTCTCTTTTGCTTTGAGCTTGGATTTTCACGGAGTATTGGATCGATATCACAACAAGTCGACGAGCTGGACGGATCCAAGGCCCGAGTTCCCTTCGGAGTGTGTGGCAGCCTTGCGCGAACTTCATCCGTTGGTTCCGCGCTACGGGGGTTTATTCTTCGTCTGCAGCTACTGTCATCACGGGGACACCAAAAGGCACGTGGTTGGGACGACAGTGAACTCCTGTGATACTCTGTTCACGCAGATCGGGGAATCGCCTATTTGCCTCATTTTCATTACGAGGAAGGCCACTGGTCCGTTGGGAAAGCGTGCAGTGCTGGAGAAGCTGGCAAAGGAGGTTGGGTTCCCCATCATTCACAACGACGACTCCGCGGACGTTTGTGACGAGCTGGCGGGTTCTCAGCACGTGATTCCTCTGCATATTGCCGTTCCGAAGAGGCATCGCACAATTTTTCCGCGTGCTCCCGTGCCTTCCTTTGACAGCTTTCCGGAGTGTACTGGAGCTATCAGAGGTCAGTTGCAGAAGTGGTTTCCGGACGCCTAAAGGTCTGGGGCTGTTCGCCCAGTTGTTCGGCGCTGAGCGCCTCTTGTGGCAGTGCGATTCTGGTTTTATTCGGGGCTCGGTGCTCAGCTCCTGAGTAAATTCCGTTATATTCAGTTCAGGGCGGTCTGAAAGGCAGCTTCGCGCCACGGACTCGGTTTCTAGTCTCTTGGTCAGGGTAAGTTTGGCTGCTCAAGCGCCACTACCCGCACTGTGAACGTGTGCATTGTGCCTCGCACCTTGCGCAAAAGGCCTTTTCTTCCGCCTCCCGTCTGAATCATGTCACAATCTCAATCAACCCCAACTGACCCAAGCTCCTTGCTTGACATCTCCAGTGCCTCTGCGGCCGCGGTTCCGGGTATGAGGGATTCCTCTTGTGCCTCAGGGGGTTCAGAGAGTAGTTCTGCCTTAGTTGAACGTGAACGCTCTCCTCCTTAATCGAAGAGCTTTAGCCCGGACTCCCAGGAAAGCTTCAGCTCCTTACCCGGTTGCCAATGTTCCTCTCGATGATTCTGGTGTCCCTACTGTTGTTCATAACCAAATGTTCAACATAGGAGCAACTCCTCAGCAAGTCCTCGCCGCTCAGCAATTTGCTTCTGGTGAAGCTGCCAATCGAGTCGCCGCCCAGGCGGAGCTGCTACACCAGGCTTCCATCAATGAGGTACAAGGCCAAGTCAGGGACGTTCTGAACGAAGCGGGGTCCGCTGTTGATCAGCTTCGGGAACAGCTCAGGCTTTCGGAGATTAGATGTGGGGCATTGTTTGAGTACGGTCAATTTGTTGAGCGCCAGCTTGCGGAAGCAAAGGCAGAGTTGAACACGTTGAATTTCCAACTTAATCAAGTCCGAGTAGAGTGCCAGATCAAGGAGAGAGAGATTCAAAGGCTTCGGTCGGCAGCTCCACGCGCCTCGACCTCCGGATCCCCTCCTAAGCCTCCAAAGGCTCATGCTCCGCCCCTCGGTTCTGGGTCTGGTGTTAGTGAAGCGTCATGGACTCACCTCGAGGCTTCCGACCCTCCCACTGAGCGGCTGCTGTACTCGGGTACCTTTGTTCCTCCGCCCGTCTCTTCATGTCCTGTTCCTCCTCAACCCACGTCACCTGTGTCGGACCCTCGCGTGGACCAGCTGATTGAGGTAGTTCAACAGTTAGTTCAACAGGTCGGGCAAAATGCTACGGGCATTGTTGAGACTACTGAACATGATGAAGTTGAAGAGCAAGAAGCTGTCAAAGAGCTTCGGGAAAAGGACATGGTTGATCAAAGAGCTCTCTTGCATCTCAAGCTTGAACCTGTTCCTTCAGATGCGGCAAGTTTCCGAACTTGGAAGAACGGTTTCAAGGTCCAGTTGTCCAAGCTTGACACTTCAGGTCAAGGTCTTGTGCTGGCTTGGGTTTCTAGGGGCTTTGATGCTGAGAGAGCTGACTTGCAAGATTCGGAGCTCCTTCCTCGTCTTGATGCATGGATAGCTGGTGAGCTGTCGTCAGGGCGTGTGCTGAAGCAGTCATCCGAACTTGAACAAGACATCACCGCTTACATTGAAAGGTGTAGTCAACTTGGACAGTCGCCCAAAGGTCGAGTGATGCTGTCTATCATCGCAAGGCATTACGACCTCGATCGGGTAAGAGGTTCTGTTCTGACTGCATCAACATTGTTTCAGATAGAGCTTGGCGGGAGTTCCATAAAGGACTTGAGGGACTTTGTGGATCGTATTCGCCTTGTTCTCAGTGCTATTCCGGTCGGGCAACGACCTGACGATCGCCTCACCGGAGAATGGCTCTTTCATCGACTGAAACGCATTCGCAAGCTTGAGCGCGTGATTGAGGACATCAGAGAGTCTGGGGCGACTTCGTATAGGCGTGAGTGATCTTACTTGTGGGATAAAATTCAGGATCTGATCGTTCAGGATCGTGAAGATTCTAATGCGCAATCTGTGTTGAAGTCCCTGCAGTCAGCCACACCTGCTCCGAAAACGAAAGCTGTCCCTGCTGTTGACGGAGGGAATGCGAAGTCGAAGGCTACGCCTCCTGCTGCACCTCCCAAAGGTGCTCCATCCAAGGCTGATCCTCCTCCTCCTCCTCCTCCTCCTCCTCCTCCTCCTCCTCCTCCTCCGATCGCTCCTGGTGCCCCAGCGCCCAATGCAAATGCGAAGGCAAAGTCCAAGGCTAAAGCAAAGGCGAAGGCTATGACTGATGCAGAGAAAGCGAAGACTCCTTGCATTTTCTTCCAGATGCCGTCAGGGTGCATTCATGGAGACAATTGTAAGTTCAGTCACAAAGCCACTGCACCGAAATCGAAAGCTAAAGCCAAGGATGGAGCCAAGAGCAAACCTGGGGCAGTAGCGAAAGCTGTCGTTGCGCTTGTTGCTGCCTCTAGCTTGTGTACCCCTGTCACCTCCGCTGGTCCGTCTTATGCTGTCGAATGGGCTGCCGACACTGCAGCTGGTCGCCACTTAGGTTCGGCTAAAGCTTTGTTCGACCAAGGGATTCCTCGTGACGCCTTCGACCGGTTCTTAGGTGCGTCTAAGTCTCCCGTGACCTTTCATACCGGCGGTGGTCCCCAACCTGGTGTGCAGACCCTTGGCTTCGAGTCTGGCAACATGGATTTCGCGAATCATTACGTGTTAGACAGTTGCCCTTTGGTCAGAAGCACAGGGATTGATGTTGATTCCGGGAAAGCCTTCATCTGGCTGCCCGGCAGTTTACCTTTCTTCGTCAGCGATGTTTCGCAGCTCGTTGTGAATGTCCTGAGAAGTTTCGACATTATGCAACTCGCGTAGAAGAGCATGTTCCGATTTTCACCAGTCAGGTGAAGTTTACTCACGGGGCACCAAACCCTGTAAGTGACCTTTCAGGGGGGTGTGAGAGCGAGGGTTCGGCTGCTGTCCCAAGCGCCATCCGATGCTCAGAGAATCCGAGCCCGGCAAATCTTGAGTTCTGGCGGCAGCATCAGCTGTCGTGCGATTCGCAAATTGCTTGGTCTTGTTGACAAGGAACCTGCTGCTAGAGGTGATCATGGGGAATCGTTCTCGACTGGACTTTATCGGTTGGGTGGAGCTCTTGGACTTAGGACTTCAGCCCACCGGTTTCCCTTGGTTACCAAAGCTCTCAACAAGTTTGCATGTTCGAAGCTTCCTGGCTTTGGATACACGACCCTTTGTATACTCAGCAACGTTACAACAGGTCCTCACAAGGATTTCCACAACGCCAATCTTGACAATGCCGTCATCTCCTTGGGTGGATTCCCAGGAGGAGGCGTATGGATTGAAGATTCAGGGGGGACAACTCCGTGTCCTGGTGATCCTGACAAGCTTGGAAAAGTCCTTAGCTTCAAGAACGGCATTATCAGGTTTAGAGCTAAAAGTTTTACGCATGCCACTATGCCATGGAAAGGCGATCGTGTCGTAGTGGTTCTGTTCTCTGCAAAGCATCCTTCAGAAGTCAAAGAATCGCACTGTGAAGAACTTCGTGCTCTGGGCTTCCCAATCGACTCTTGTGAAGAGCCACTGCCGGCCTATGCTGCTGATGCGCCACCCGAAGGGCCTGGCGTTGACGCATCTGCTGAAGGTGTTGGGGAAGTTGAACTGGATGATGGAGCAGAGGATAAGGTTCCAGAGAGAATTCGGAAGCTTAGGGATCAAGCGATGTCGCTTGAGCACAGGTTGTTCCACTTCCCGAAGAATCCTTTCTGTGATATCTGTAATCAAGCTCGCATGCTTTCGAGGCGTTTGCGCAGGAAGCCTCGTGATGCTGAGGAAGAATCAGATCCATTTGAAGCTTCAGAGTTTGGAGAAGTCATTGCCGCTGATCACATTCACGTGTTTAGATCGCCGGACGACTCCGATGCTCTGGACAAGTCTTACGTTGTGTTGTGCTTGAGGGATAAGTACACTGGTTTGTTTGCAGCATACCCTGGAAATGATCGTTCAACCAGCGCCATCGTGACTGCGTTGAGAAAGTTTGTTGGACGCAGAACTTGCTCAAAGCCGGTGACCTTAGTATCTGATGCGGCTGATGAGTTCGAAGCCGCGGCAGAAGAAATGGGATGGATCTCTTCACCATCTTTGCCTAATCGTTTTCCCCATAACGCTCAACTTGAGCGGGCGATTAGGACCTTCCAAGGAGGCCTGAGATCATCGTTCCTTGAAGCCGGGTTTTCGATCCGTCCCGAGTTGTGGCCCGCTGCTTGTCGTTATGGTGCCACTGCCTTGAATCTGACATTGCCTTCCCCGCAAGATGAGTCACTCTGTAGGTGGGATTTTAACATTGAGGATTCAGGCAGGGATGAAGTATGCATCAGAAAGCTGATTCTTGGCCAGCTTGTGTTTTACCGGCATAAGCATGAAAGTAAGTTCGGCCCAAATGCTGCACCAGGATTGTTCGCAGGATGGCGATTGGAACCAGGTGGCATTTACCGTGCTGTGAGCCTTGTGCTTGACTTAGAAAAGCTTCGTTCCAAGATCGGCGCTTGGACTGAGCCGATCAGTGTTCCGGAGGCTGAGCTTTACGTTCGATCCGGTGACCCTGTGTTTCCTCTTCGCAACGCTGCGGAGCATGCGCTGTTGACTTTTGCCGATGAAGGCGAAGTGCCTGCTCAAGACCCTCTTCCGATTCCTTTCACGCCGCATGTCTTCACAGAGCAAGGCAAAAGGAAGAAGCTTCGTAGGATTTACATCACGTATGCCAGGTTTCGTAAGATAGGTCCCACGCCTGGGTGCCATGCTTGCGACAACGACAAAAGCAACCACAATGCTGAGTGCGTTGCAAGGTTTGAGAAGGCTTTTGGTAGAGAAGCTAAAGCTCCTGAGACTCCAGTTCCCAAAGAGTTCTTGTCGTATGAAGAGCTTCAGCTGCCTAGACCTCCTGCTCGTCCCGAGGGAGATCATCTCTCGGACTATGAGCCGTCAGAAGCTGGTCCTGATGATCCTCCGGCTTTGCCTGCGGTGTTTCGACATCAAAAGCCTGGTGCTCTTGTGTTGTTTGAGATCGTGTCCCACTCACGGTCCAATCTGGCCAACATTGCCAAAGGATCAGGCGTTCAGGTGATTTCGATACCATGTGACCGAGTTGATCTGTCTGATCCGCTAGTCATCGATCAACTCATCGGCCAGGTGTCTGCTGTTCCAGGTCGCTGTCTGGTCGGCTCTCTTATAGGCGACGGTTGGGGAGCTAGGTACTCCGGGTACGCTCACTGGAAGGCTCAGCGAACTCTGCTGGGTTTTCTCCAGGTTGCTTCAGTCATCTTCTCCAACGGTGGCGAGGTTTCTCTCGAATGGCCACAAGACTCCACGTGTTGGTTGCTTCCTGAAGTTCAAGCCTTCGAGGACCAGTTCAGCCTTCGCAGAGTTTCGTTCAAGGGCTGTGCTCTAGGTATGGTTTCAACGTCTGGAGCTCCGTTTGACGCTCCTTGGCAGATCGTAACGTCGAGCAAGCGTTTGATCGAGAATTTCAAACCTTTCAAATGCACTCATGCTTCAACTGTCAAGCATTGCTCATCGAGTACGCTTTGGCCACGGGTAGCCTTCTATCCTGAGGCATTCTACAAAGTGCTGCTCATGTCTCTGTTCCCTTTTGCCAAGGCGTTTCATTCGCCTGCGCTCCCGTGTGTTCCTTCCTTGCCACAACTCCATCGTGAAAAGGATTCTAAACCCAAGGTTCCTCTTGATGTTCTTATGCATGAGTCTGGGATGAAAGAGGTTAAGCTTCCGGGTTTAGCTCACCGTCTTCTCGATAGAAAAGAATGGTCGGGGCAACCAGGAGCCTACGAGGCAATAAAGAAGGAGAAAGACGGCCTCGTCGGTGTTGGGACATGGCTTGAAGAGGAAATAGTTTCCAAAAGGGATGTTCTTGCCTGGGCCACCAGAACTTCTAATGTGGTCCACTTCGGAAATTTGATGGTCATTTTATCCGTGAAAGGGTCTGAGCTGAGTCCAGATCAGTGGCGACTCAAGGCAAGAATTGTCTTCAGGGGTGATGACATCCGGGACCAATCCGGCATGTCTTTGCAAGGTTAAGTCGGCCTGACTTGATCGTGGCAGTCACAACGCTTGCATCGCACGTCTGCAGCTGGTCGGTCACCGTCGGGTTCATCGACTATAATCGGTTACATTCTGCATTCAGTCGATTACGCAATGATGTTGTGCATCAGCGATCCTCCTTCGGAATTACGGTTATCCCTCTACTGTGATTCCGACTTCGCCGGCTGCATTGACACGTCCCGATCAACCAGCGGATACGTGTTGGCTATCGAAGGCCCAGGAAGCTTCGCTTTGTTATCATGGTCGAGTAAACGACAAAAGGTCGTATCCCGGTCAAGTACCGAAGCAGAGTTCGTTTCACTGAGTGGAGCTCTGTATAACGATGCAATTCCCTTACATGAAGTTTGGGAGGCCCTTATCCCCGGGATCTGCTTGCAGATCTACGAGGATAATCAAGCATGTATTGCAATCGTGAGAAAAGGATTCAGTTCCAAACTCCGCCATTTAGGCAAAACCCACCGTGTGAACGTGTCATCGACTTGTGAATATGTCAATGACAACTCCAATGTCATTTTGGAGTACTGCCGCACGGATGAGCAAAGAGGTGACCCTCTTACCAAAGCGTTAGCAGTCCAGAAATGGTCTCATGCGCTCGAACTGTTGACAATGTCGACTTCCAGTCTACCCTCATATAGCTAAGCTTGGGTTGGATTGATTGTTAATCGGGTTATGATGCTGAGCACTCGATGCCCTCGAAGCTAAGCTTCACACGTCAAGACCGCTTGGTTGTTTGGCTGCTCCTAGCGCCACACCAGGCAGGTCGTGGAATCAACCGTCAATGACCGTGTCGTGTCACATCGGTCAAGAAATCAACGGCAGGTTGCTTCCCTCAGTTCTTTAATTCAGTGGATCCACGTGCATTGTATAGTATATCAAGCTTCTACAAATCAGAAGGGGGGAGTTGAAGAATCTCGATGATCCTCCATGTAAAGTTATCTGATTATGTAGAACGATGCCAACGACCTTCGATGTTTGGCTCAAGATGAAAAGAAGCTCCGTTGAGCGTTGCTTCTGCTTTTGGGTTTGGGTTTCCTTCGGTTCCCCTGCCCTCTCTTCTCGTTCCTACCCTAACATAGTTGCTTCTGTGTTTGGGGTCGGATTAACTGATAAGAAGGGGATACTCGGAAGAGTGGGTCGAGTTGCCTGAGGAGTGTCAAACCTCAACCAAAGGCCAGTAGTAGAATGAGCAGAAGAAGACAACTATGACTGGCAAATTCATCACAACAGCAACAGCAGCAAGACAAAGAACAGAAACAAGAACACCAGCAGGAGCAACATCATCAGAAAAGACGGCGCAGCAACAACAAGCATCAGCGCCACCGCCACCGCCGACGACGACAACCACAACCACAACAGCAACAGCGACAGCAACACTAACGCCACCGCCGCCACCACCACCAGCATCATTACTACCGCCATCAACAGCAACAGCAACACGAACTCGAGCGCGAACGCGATCACGAACGCCCCGATACTACCTCACCCGATCGAGGATGGTGGAGGGTGGTGGACGCCTGGACTTCAGCTGCACGCGCGACTACAGCGCGCAGGTGGGCGGGAGCAGGTTCCACTCAGGGTGTTCCTGTAAAGCTACGGATTAGCATACAGGGTTTACGGTTTGGGGTAGCTGTACGACGGGAGTGCTTCGTATCATGGGCCAGCGCTGCCAGAAATCCCACATCCTGAAGCTTCCGACTGAAAATCCAACCCAAAGGTTCGGGCTTTCTGGTTGTTTGGTTCAGGACTCTCAGGGTTGAGAGTGTTGGGTTTTAGGATTTTCGCTTTAATGTTTTGATGTTATTGTGCACCAGCGCTAGCTAGTACTCCAGGTTTTTTGGCTTACATTCCGCAGTTGAGAAGACGCTTTGAGTACCCCAGCCGTCAAAGGATACATGCTCATCTACAGTTCCTAATCGCCGGAACCTATACCCCAGTCCCCAAACCTAATCCAAAACCCTGAACGCGAAAGCCTCGACCCTAAATGGAGCACTCATAGAACTTGGTATGAGAAAAATAGTATTTCAATACTTAAAAGTTGTTCTATATCATATTTTAATATAATATAGAATAATTTATTATCATATATAGTATAATAATCATTTCTTTCCGATGTGAAGGAGGCCAGAGAGGCCTTCCAGCGGGTGGCGCAGCGGTATGGCTGGCTCAGGAGAGTCGGATACTATGGAGATCGGAACAAACGGCTTAGGGTTTAGGCAGGATTAGTTCAGAATTTAGGGTTTAGGTAGGATTAGTTTAGGATTTAGGGTTTAGGGGTATCGGAACAAGTATTAAACTGTCTATGATTGATAGTTTCCCTCTTTGCAGTTCCCAACATCACTATAGCATACTACGTATATGTACTCCCACAACCCTACTCCAATTATGTTTAAGTTCAGGTTCCTACATTAGCTTATTCTCCCATGTGCGGAAGTGTGCAAAGCATACCCAGCAGAGCCTTCTTAGAGCACAGAGTCTCTGGCGACAGCCAGTCCGCCAGGCCAGCCGGGGCCAGTAAGTGGTTGAGTAGAAACCTTACTCTGTACTATGTACTGTAGGTACTTGGGACCTTCGGGATAGCCAAGGTACTTACTTGGGACTATTGATATCTCATGCTAAGTTTTTGCAATGGCTTGCAGGACTTGACAGCCGTTGCGACGACGGGAGTGAGAGCTCGTTGCCGTTCTCAGTGCTAGATCCAGACATCTAGTAGCCCTTGGAAGTCTGCAGATGCTTTATCGACATAGGTTAATTAGTTAGAACTTGGCATCCGAGGCACTCTGTCGGTAAATCTCGAATGGTTGCAACCTGGCTACGTAATCAAGTCACGGTTAGTGCAGCATACGCATCAGCGCGGATGTGACATGCGCAGAAAATGTTCGTGCCGACCTGAATATCGGATGTCTGCAGTGTTTGCCTGCCCGACTTGTCTGCACAACTTGCCGTACTGCTGCTCATGCTGTCTCGCTCGTTCTTGCGATGATTGTCATTTTCTTGTCGAATCTCATCTCTTTGTCTGCACATATCGTATTCGTAACGTGTACAATCCAGCCCATGTTGGCGTGTTGCGTCTTGTCTCCCCCTACCTGTCAGTACGGCTGTTTCGTATCATCCCGGCCGGACAACTCATTCGGCCAATTACATTAGGTTTTATACCTGACGCCTGGTACAACATCAGACATGCATGGAGATCTATGTATGAAACTAGATGCGTCTTTGCATCTATCTGTGTATGTAACATATCTATGTGTGCATGTAGCTATGTCTGAAAATGTACGTACGTATGTATGTGTAAATGTATGTATATATAATATACACATACAGATATGTCTATATTTATACACGCATATATATATACACACATAAGATATGTATGCACTTACTACAACTAGCACGCCTCTCGGTCACTCTCTAGTCGTTTGAAAACTTCGCTTTCCATTTACCTGTACAGCGGCAAAAGGCGAACTCACCGCCGGCTTGCATGTGGGTCATGCACGACGTCTGAGCGGCAGGCCGCTCTTAAAGTGTGTACTCAGGTATTGTGTTTATATGATGCCGCATTTTGCCACCTCGAAAGCATCCAAGCCCCGGCGCAAGCTTGCAGGACGGTGACCAATGCCAGATGCAAACCAACGACATGGCATCTCGAAAAGTGGGATGATTCATCCTGCGCTCGGTGCTGCTATTGGCAACGGTGCTTGTATCTTTCGAATGTTGCACAGCCGCCCCTGGAAACGAAGTTATTATCTGCTGAAACTGACAGTTCGGCCGTTGCGACAAAGCAGGCGCAGCCATGTCCCAGAGATGCGTGCGCTCGCTGTCTTGTGCATTGCATCATTGTCACCATTGTCTCTTTGACACGTGCACTGTCAGTTTGACACTTGACATCGCTGCGAAGGCGTTTCAACAATTCTCGCGGAAGGTACTCCCGAGCCCTGCACACATGTTTTGGTTGCCGCTTCAATCGCACGGCTAAAATCGACATCATGAGATCATGGAGGTTGATTTCTCGGAATCAGATTGCCAAAGCCCTGCTTCTCAAGAGAAATACGGATTGAGGATTGGATAGGTTCGTTTGCGTTTGAAGTGCGACATCTCGTCCATGGGTGCGGCCAGTGTCCTGTGTGTGCCCACGGCTTGCTCGGGAGACTTTGTTCACTTGTCTCGCTTCGGGTGACATGAATCGACGGACCGGCTGGAACGATCGACATCCCTCTTTGCCTCTGACGAAGATATCCGAAGTGTCTATGCCTTTGCCTAAGTAACGGGATAGCCGTTTGCAAGTATATGAGTGGTGGCATACTGCTCAAGTCATAGCTGGAACCCTACGCTGCACGTTCAATGAGCTGTTGGCTTGCTACGGCTAGGTATTGCCCGGTGCCCGTGGATGCCGCAACGAATCGCCGAACTGAGCCGGTGCACCCGCACTGTGTGTGCTATTGAAGTGCTTGCCACGCGCACTACGGGCACGGAACAGGTTGCAACGTCTGGCAGGAGTGCTCGGGAGTGTCGAGGGGTGCTTCCTTGCTACGGG